TAATTATTAAGGATAAAATAGAAGACTATTAAAATAAGTGTCACGAATCACGTTCTCACGTGATACTTGTCATAATAAAGAGGCGCAACCCTCGACAGGCACATTCAGGTTTCTTTATAGCAAATAGGGATGCTTAGACTAGCTAAGCGATCCAAGGATTTCTCGTGTATGTAGTCACGTGATCAATCGCATCGCCTGTATCGACAGTCGATGTTAGCGATAGGAGGTCGACTACATCGACAGGTGATGTAGGCGATGTAGAGAGAACGAAGGTTCTATATAAGACTGGCACATCTGCCATTAGATAGGAGCTTCGTGCTCAACTTAGTTATCAATCTTATCATATTAAGTTAGCGATAGGAGGTCGACTACATCGACAGGTGATGTAGGCGATGTAGAGAGAACGAAGGTTCTATATAAGACTGGCACATCTGCCATTAGATAGGAGCTTCGTGCTCAACTTAGTTATCAATCTTATCATATTAGTTTGACATCTTTGATACAAGTAACGAGTTCACTTCCAAGTGAACAACCCGATAGTCTTCTTCTTATCATGGCATACCAACCAGCGAACACCCAGCCAAGTTTAGTTAGCCAGTTTGAGTATTCGTTACAATAAGCTATAAAAAGTAGATTATTTAAAAGTAGCTAGCTAAAGTAAAGTAGTACCCTAATATAAGAGCTCTCCTATACTATAGAACCTTCCTATCTAAGACTAGCGCAACTTATATAAGACTAGCCTTAACTCTTCTAGAACTATATAGCGTATAGGCTATCTCGCCTGATATAGGAGTTATATACTAAGTAAACAAAGGGGTAAACTCTAGTACGTTCCGTAATACTTTTATAACGTAGGGAATTCGAATAGTAAGATAATAGCGGAATACTATATTTCTTAAATCCTTAAGCCTTATATACTCCCTCTTATTAAAGAAGGACAAGACTTTATATTAGAGGAGGATAGAGATTTAGGGCATAGTTGTAGTAAAAGAAAGAAGGGTAATATAGTACGAAAATAGAAATAAGACTACAAGGTTAAGACGTATAAGAACTGTTTAAGTTTACTAGATATTACTCCTGTTAAGAATACCTGGTTAGTACTAAAGGTATATATTTAAAAGTTCTCTTATAACAATAACGAAATACTAAAAGAGCTTACTTTAGAGGGGTAGGAGAAGTTAAAACAGGAGACTATAAATAAGTAGGTAGACAAGATGCCTTAAAGATTATAGGATGTAATTAATTCTGAGGGAAAGATGACCGGCTACTAATTAGAAGGTTAGGAATAGCTTTAAATTAAATAAAAGTATTGGTTTTGTACTATTAGATATTTATTAAGGTACTATGAAAATATGCGTGATTTTTATGAATTAGTAATGTTGGTACACGGGCTAAAAAACTGTAGCTTATTTTGTCCACCGCGTGCCAGGTTAAGAGACGTCTAAGCGAGAACGACAGGAGAGAGGGAGGCGTGAGATGATTCCCGACCTACTTTACGGAACTAGCGTGAGTACCTATATAACCCCCATGAATTGAAGATTTTTCTTCAAGGTCTTTTCGTGATCCAGCGAAACAAGCCGCGAATTGGCTGCGACAATATGTATTCTCTGTATTTGACGGTCTGTGGATACAATGGGATGACTTAAGTCAGATTGGCATGAGACATCAAGGTGCAGACTGTAAGTACAGAAATTAAGGCTCTTTGCAAGTATAGTAAATAACCTAAATTTTAGATAAAAGCATTCAACGGCCTATAAAGGGTGTGACTTTCACGCCCCAAGAACAAACCCTCTACCCTATATGAGCTTAGTAATAGATTAGAGAAATTCTAAGAGAGATTCCACTTTTCTATGCTCATTAGTTGTAGCAGCTGGTTCCCTTATTTTGGATGTATTGTTTGATCTTACCAGATCAAACAAGCGAAAGCATACCTACCAACTCGAAATTTAACGACATGTCTTCTTACTCAAGCGTTTACTTGAAGTTCCCAAGGTCTTCGACTGGGTCCGGTTTTTTCTATAGCTTGATGTACTTCGCTCTGCTAGAATCAGACATTAACCTTTTCGGGTCCGCAAGTATAGTTGCATCGAGGATTTTTCCAAGCTTGGGTGCTTTATGGCGTATATTACTAGAGTGTCAATAGTCGCTTCAGTGAGGTGATAAAGGAAGGAACTTCCATTATAGCGGAAGTACATTTAAGTACTAGGGGTAAGTGAGTAGATAAAATACTATGTTTACATTTCACTTTTTTAGGTATAAACAGTTAAGCCGAAGGAGTCTATATCTCCTACTTTACCCCGAAGCCTAATTTTGTTTAGGGTTATCTAGTACCTACTTAAGTATATATTACTCGCCTATGGTAGAATTAACTAATTCTACATATTAGTAGACATAGTCTCAACCCACCAATAAATAAAATAACTTGCCTGTAAAGCTATAACTGAACATTGTCGCAGAATAGAAAGGACGCAATTCAATACAGAATCCACAATTTTTACCGATAGTTACATTTCTTTCCAATTCGTCTCGAAGTTTTCGAGTAAATTTACCTAAATTAAGTAAACCAAGTTTGAATCTGGCGAGCTATATATGTTCAAACCAGTACGATTGCCTATAAAGCTACACCCAAATCACATCTCAGTAATAAAAGGGTGTAGATTAATACGAAATCCACATTTTTCCCCGATAGTTACATTTCTTTCAAATTCATCCAGAAGGTCTCGACTCTCGAAGAAATTCATAAATTGACTTAAGAGATAGCGAGCCATATACTAAAACCAGTACAACCACCATTTCCCGCTCTCAAGCTATACGACTCCATTCCTCTTTAATGTTAGTAGGTGAGTTCCTTAATCCATTTTACAAACCCCATGCTTCATATAACAATCAGGTCATGCATAACAAGCAAAAGAAGCCAGCAAGGGTAATCTATTACTCCGCTTCGCTAGATAAGTACTATTAATATAACCCGAATCTCATTTTCTTTCCCCAGATATGTTACTACTTACCTCCCCAGAAACCGAAAGCTTCTTCAGTATCACGATTAGAAAATACCTCAGTACACTATACACACGTGGTACACACAGAAAGTGTAGTCAGAAGCGTAAGCGAGAATCAAGAGATACCGTCCTATCCCGACCTAGTTTCCTTCAAACCCCCCCAAAGACCTCGAAACTTCTATATAGCTAGTCCCAAAAAACCCAACACTCTCTCCTAGTCTAATCCGAGGTAAAGAGTAAAAGATACTAATTCCCACTTCAAGAACCACTTTTCAATCGGAATCGCATTCGACTATTATTATAGAAAGCTCCCTACCCACCCCTAGTTTAAAAGTCAAAAGCCTTAGGTAAGATAAGATAAACTTCTTACTAGTACATGGAACCTAAAATCCATTATACAAGGGAAGGCTATAAGGTAATTGGTTACCCAACCTTTTCACGATACTGTAGAAAATAGAAACAGTCAGTAATACTAGAAGAATATTTAGACGCTCTACTAAGTCGTATATATACCTAATCATTTCTTCCCGTACGTACTCCCTCCCCCCTTTCTCTTTTCCTCTTTCCCACCCCCTCAGCCTCTTGAGAAACAAAAATCTCCTAACTAGAGGAACCAAGATCACTAAACCAACCTGGGTCTTCTGACTAACCATGGATTCTTAAGGTATACTTGTACTGTACTATACACAAGACTTACACTAACCACACGGTGTACAAAATATAGTTCCCAAACTCATCAAACTCCTCACATTATCCCGTACCACTAGGAGGTAATTTCCCAGCATCACCCCCAAGTAAACACGCCTAGATAGCACACCACATTTCCTTCCTCATACTATAAACCCAACAAAACACCCCCCTCCATACCCCTCTCAAACACCACATATCACCCCCCCTAACCTAAGTTCTAAAACATCCATCCTTCAGCTTATAACCTATCACCCAAACATCACCCACAGTATCTCAACCCAAGATGCCTAGCGCTAGCTATAACAAAGAAAAAAGAAAAAAACCCCTAGCTCGTTATATCCCTTATTATAAATTATTATTGATTATAATCTACCCGCTTACTAAATTATAGATTATAGGAACCCAGAACGACGACAATAGTTGGAAGAAAATATATGTCTCCTGATCTCTTATACCTCTATTATCTCCTTATCTCCCATATCTATCTCTATATTCCTATCCCTATTACCACGACTCTACAGAACCTCTCCCACTCTTCCACCCCTTCCACCCAAAAATTCTTACATCCCATCCCATCCCATTACATCACCAGCATCATCCCCAATCTCCACCCCCTACTCCAATCCAATCCAATCCACACTTCCCTACTCCAATCCCTTCCCCTTCCCTTTCCCTTCCCCCCCCCCCCCATACATAA